ACACATGTAATAAATCATCTGTTTCTGTAAAAAAAAAAAAAAAAAAAAACCTCCAGTTTTCAGCTCCGCTGCAACTCTGTTTCTGCTCATTTTGTATAGCTCCAGGATAGCAACTTGGCTAAAATGTGTGCGTGAGGGCGTTCTGTACCACTTATCCACTGTGTTTAACCCAGGCTTGGTCACTATATTAATGAACATCATGTCTTTCACTGTGAACTCTGTTACTGTTCGAGTTATTTCTGCGTGCAGTTTTGAATCATGTTCATACGGAGTGATACCTTCGAACAGTTCGGTCAGTGATCCCTGTCGGCTGCTACTTTAAGTTCAAGCACTGGTCATTGGCATTGCAGCTATGCAACTATCGTAAATGGATTTGTGGTGTTTTTTTAAGTGTTGATAAAGATTTGTGGTATTACCTCAAGAGGGAGCAACAGCAGTGAGGCAGGTTCTGCACAATACATGTAGTTGCGCAGCGTCTTCTTTATTATAGTTGAAATAATTCAAACAACGAAGGTTTGGTACCAAACTTTCAGATGTATCACCTCGAGCCTGACGCTGTTATGGAACCAGTTAAAACACGTTGACTTGTCCCGCTCCCTGCTCTGCTTTGCTCCGCTCCGCTCACTTGCAAGTGGTGTAACCAGATCATGTGACCAGTCAAACTGCAGCCTTGGTGATTAGAAAATCTTATTGTGATATTTTTGCAAATGCAATTAATTGTTCAGCTCTAGGAAGCTGAATGAAGTTTGGCGCGATTAAGACTGTGAGAGCGGGAGTGAGTCATGAGGTTTGAGAGATTTGTGATATTGAGCATGTTTGGGTTTTACAGTTAGGGTGTAGTTAAGAGTGTTTAGTCAGTTTTAGTGTGTTTGAGTCAAAAAGTGAGACAATTTGTGAACGTGAGGAGGAGCTGCAGACCCAGAGGACGGAACCGCCATGTCAGAACCTCTCAGACTGGAGAGGATCACGAAGGAGAAAAACAGTCTTGAGTCGGACAGTGATGACTGATGATGAAGAGGGTCATTAGGATTTGTTTTAGAAGAGGAAGAGAGCACTGAGCCCCACTAGGAGGTTTGACTCTGCTTAGAGGAGGGGGTCCAGAACCCCTCTGACACAGACAACAGAACCACGCATCAGTTCTGAGCTCTGGAGAACAGAGGAGGATGTGGACGTTGACCCCGAGGACATGCTAAAGGAAGAAAATACTTTTTTTTTTTAATTACTGTTTATTATTTTGTTGGTTATAAAAATAACTGTAGTGTAGAGTTTTTAAACAAGAAAACCTTTAAAGCATTAAAATGAAAATATTATAAGTTAAATTAGATTTTTATTTCAGACTGAGACAGCTCTAAAAGACTGTTTTTTTGTGGAAAAATATGTTTAAATATTTTTTTAAGGTTGATTTTTCCAGAGGAACATGAACAGTCATAAAGTTAAAGGGTTAACAGTCTTATTCAAATGTTCACAATAAGATGCTCTTGATGTCGATCAGATTTCATGATCTTACCTGTAGTTACAGAAAACAACGTGTAGTTTTTGAGCAGGATGCATTCAGCTGGGACTGCTGCAAGATAAAAAATAAAGATGAGTTCATTGTGAAATAATTCTTTATTAGGTTCTTTAAAATGTATGTTATCTTGCTTTGCTGGTTATGACTTCATAACCCAGTTCATGCCTGTGATGCTGGTAAGACATTTTCATCAGTGATCAGAGTTTAAACAGTCTGCCTTCACCAACATTTTCACTGCACACAACATCTGTGGAAATAATTCCAGCCTCCTACTCAAAAAGTTATTGGGAAGACTGGGATTAATTTAAACCAACAAAATTCTCCTGTTGTCGCCAAGTTTCTGTCAGACAGAATAAATCAATATGATGATCAGTTATCAGTTCATTAACTAACAGGGATTTAGAGGAAAGAGATCTGATGTTCAATAATCCACATTTAATGATTTTATGATTTTGCTCTGGTAAAGTAACTGTGTTTATTTTAATCAGATTTTTATGGTTTATATTTTTAGAGTTGATTTTTTGGTTTATTTAATTTGAGCCGTGGGCGAGTTGACACTGTTTCAATGGGGGTGTGGGTGGGTAACAGAGGAGAAGCAGCAGAGAGGTGTGGAGGACTACAACTCTGCTTCCTGGACTGGACCCTGGGTTGTCAATAATTTGGGGGATAAACAAAATCAGCCATATTTCTAGAAAGAAGAGCGGCTCCGTCCAAAGTGGGATGGATGCCATCTCTCCACATCAGACCAGGTTTTCCCCAGAAAGAACTCCAGTTATCTATGTAGCCCACGTCGTTGTCAGAACACCACCTGGACACCCAGCGGTTAAACGACGACATACGGCTAAACATGTCATCGCTGGTCAGGTTGGGGAGGGGGCCAGAGAAAACTACGGAGTTCGACATGGTTTTAGCAAAGTCACACACCGAAGCAATGTTAATTTTAGTGTCCTCCGATTGGAGTAACCAGGAGTCATTACCGCCGACGTGAATAACAATCTTACCGTATTTAGCCTTAGTCAGCAGTTTCAGATAAGATTCAATGTCGCCTGCTCTGACCCCCGGAATGCATTTGACTATGGCCGCTGGAGTCCCTAAAGCCACGTTTCGGACTATGGAGCTTCCAATAATCAGGGTCTGCTTCTCAGCGGGTGTGTCACAGAGCAAGGAAAATCTATTAGCAATGTGAACGTGAAGGTGGTGAACTGGGGGCTTAGCCTTAGCACTACGCTTGCTCCGGACTATCACCCAGCTGGCCTGGGGTCCCGGCTGCTCGGGGTCTGCTGGAGGACCGCTAACGGGAGCTAGCCTCTGTGGTTCTGCGCTGTCTAAGGGGACCTGGCTAGCTACTGGTTTTTTATTTATTTTTTAAATAGTCTGACCAGCTTCAGCAGCTTCTTCACAGAGACTTCTGCTTTTGTTTTCAGGTTCATACAGAACCAGTGTCCTTCCTGAACTGTATGATGACAGTACCTGGTGTTTCAACTTGTGATTAACTGTTTGAACAGCATCTGGAGGTTGTACAGGTCCTTCTCAAAAAATTAGCATATTGTGATAAAGGTCATTATTTTCCATAATGTAATGATAAAAATGAAACTTTCATATATTTCAGATTCATTGCACACCAACTGAAATATTTCAGGTCTTTAATTGTTTTAATACTGATGATTATGGCATACAGCTCATGAAAACCCAAAATGCCTGTCCCAAAAAATTAGCATATTTCATCCCACCAATGAAAGACAAGTGTTTTTAATACAAAAAACACCAACCTTCAAATAATCATGTTCAGTTATGCACTCAATACTTGGTCGGGAATCCTTTTGCATGAATGACTGCTTCAATGCGGCGTGGCATGGAGGCAATCAACCTGTGGCACTGCTGAGGTGTTATGGAGGCCCAGGATGCTTCGATAGCGGCCTTAAGCTCATCCAGAGTGTTGGGTCTTGCGTCTCTCAACTTTCTCTTCACAATATCCCACAGGTTCTCTATGGGGTTCCGGTCAGGAGAGTTGGCAGGCCAATTGAGCACAGTAATACCATGGTCAGTAAACCATTTACCAGTGGTTTTGGCACTGTGAGCAGGTGCCAGGTCGTGCTGAAAAATGAAATCTTCATCTCCATAAAGCTTTTCAGCAGATGGAAGCATGAAGTGCTCCAAAATCTCCTGATAGCTAGCTGCATTGACCCTGCCCTTGATAAAACACAGTGGACCAACACCAGCAGATGACATGGCACCCCAGTGACTGTGGAAACTTGACACTGGACTCAAGCAATGTGAATTCTGTGTCTCCTCTCTTCCTCCAGACTCTGGGACCTTGATTTCCAAAGGAAATGCAAAATTTACTGTAATCAGAGAACATAACTTTGGACCACTCAGCAGCAGTCCCAGGCGAGATGCTTCTGACGCAGTCTCTTGTTCAAAAGTGGCTTGACCTGGGGAATGTGGCACCTGTAGCCCATTTCCTGCACACGCCTGTGCACGGTGGCTCTGGATGTTTCTACTCCAGACTCAGTCCACTGCTTCCGCAGGTCCCCCAAGGTCTGGAATCGGCCCTTCTCCACAATCCTCCTCAGGGTCCGGTCACCTCTTCTCGTTGTGCAGCGTTTTCTGCCACACTTTTCCCTTCCCACAGACTTCCCACTGAGGTGCCTTGATACAGCACTCTGGGAACAGCCTATTGTTCAGCAATTTCTTTCTGTGTCTTACCCTCTTGCTTGAGGGTGTCAATGATGGCCTTCTGGACAGCAGTCAGGTCGGCAGTCTTACCCATGATTGCGGTTTTGAGTAATGAACAAGGCTGGGAGTTTTTAAAAGCCTCAGGAATCTTTTGCAGGTGTTTAGAGTTACGTCGTTGATTCAGATGGTTAGGTTAATAGCTTGTTTAGAGAAACTTTTAATGATATGCTAATTTTTTGGGACAGGCATTTTGGGTTTTCATGAGCTGTATGCCATAATCATCAGTATTAAAACAATTAAAGACCTGAAATATTTCAGTTGGTGTGCAATGAATCTGAAATATATGAAAGTTTCATTTTTATCATTACATTATGGAAAATAATGACCTTTATCACAATATGCTAATTTTTTGAGAAGGACCTGTATATATGAACCAGATGTGTGTGTGGGGTGACTCCTCTTGGCAGCTTTTATTTGATTATTTTTATGTTGCACGAAGAAGCAGCATGTCTGAGGTGTGCATCCAATTAACTCAAATGTCGTCAGCTAACCAATTAAAAACTCCCAAAGCCATGACATCATCATCTGGGTTTTTCCAAATTGTTTAAAGGTAAAGCAGACTTAAACAGCACAGCTTGTGACTTTGAGAAAACTTTTGCAAACAAAAAAAATCTTGGGAATCTTAACTGATTCAAAGCAGGAAAGGTTTAGTCTGATTTAATGAGGGAAAAAATGGTTTAGTCTTTAAATAAAGTGTATGTAAACATTTAGTTTAAGCTGTAATTTCACACATTTCCTTCTTTTGACTTTTCAGATGGCAAAGGCTTCACGGGTCAAGAGGGAAATGGTTCAGTGGTGGTTGACGATCACGTCAAGGCAATCCTGAACAGCCCACTCACAACTGTTTTCCTCCCGGTGGTCTACATAATCGTGTTTGTTGTGGGGTTGCCCACCAACGCTCTGGCAATCTGGGTCTTCCTCTTCAGGACCAAGAAAAGACACCCGTCCTCCATCTACATGGCCAACTTGGCTCTGGCTGACTTGCTGTTTGTTATCTGGGTCCCTCTGAAAATAGCATACCACTTTAACGGTAACAACTGGGTCTATGGAGACGGTTTGTGCAAAGTGCTGGTGGCCTTTTTTTATGGCAACATGTATTGCTCCATTTCTTTCATCGCCTGTATAAGCGTGCAGCGTTACTGGGCCGTGGTCGACCCGCTGTCCCAGAAGCAGCGGAGAAACTGTGTTGCCGTTTTTGTTTCTGTCACCATCTGGGTGGTGGTCTGGCTCCTCACGCTTCCTCTCTACCTGTATGATCAAGCTGTGCAGGTGCCAAACCTCAAAATCCAGACCTGCCACGACGTCACCAGGCCCAGTCAGAAGGAGATTGCCGCAGGATATTTCCTGACCATGGGAACACTGGGATTTGTCGTTCCCACTGTCGTATGCATCATATCCTACGTCCTCATGCTGAAGGCTCTTAGGAACAGCTTGGAGGACGCCACAGTTGCCAAGAAGCGCCAAAAGGCTGTAGTCCTGATCATCACGGTCTTGGTGATGTTCCTGGTCTGCTTCACTCCCAGTAACATCATGCTGCTGGTGCACTACACCCTCCTACTGAACAACGCAGTCAACAACATGTACGGGTTTTACATCACCACCCTGTGCCTGGCCAGCCTCAACTGCTGCGTGGATCCCTTCATTTACTACTTCATCTCTGAGGACTTCAGGAACCACGTCAAGAACACGTTCATGTGCAGGAGCGAGAGAACCGTGGAGAGGATGAGGGTCTCCTTCAGCGCACTGAAGTTCTCCAAAAAGAGCAACACGTACACGTCAGAAACACCGAACACACGGAGCACCGAGTGTTAGCCGGGCCCTTGGTTTCAGATTTACTCTCAGGTGGAAGAAGAATGAAGAAGAACGTGCATCTCCAGGTTTGATGTGCACGGATATCTGCAAACATCACATTAACTTAATGTGTGTGTGGGGGGGGGGGGGGTCTTTTTTTGTAAATAAATGTTTTCAGTATTTTTTAAACAGCTTTTAGTGAATGTTCCTTTTGATAAATGTTCTCGTTTTATTTTGTGAACAGATTTTGGTCGTGATGATTTTTTTTTTTTTTGGTTTTGCCGTGTCATCTGTAAATAAACATTTTTACATATTAAATAAGATATATCTTACTTTGAAACTTGTTTTATATTTACAGCCACCTTTGCTTTTATCTAAAAACTCTAAAAGTTTTTAAGCTCCTGTCAGATTTACATGTTTTTTTCTTGACATTATATCTTGAGCACATAAAATTATTTAAAAAGTTATATTTTTGTTGTAGTGTTACCCATGTCACTTCTTCCAGGCTATTTTATCAACACCTTTAAGCATTTCATTATTAAATAAATAAGTTACACCTTTGTCTGCTTTTTATTTTTTGCAGCCACTTAAACGTTCTAAATTTCTTCGACCCATTTGGGAACGATGTTTGACCAGTTCTGCCCAGGCAGCAACAAACGATCCTGATTTACAGGATTAGAAATAGTCGTGTAGTTGAAGCCTAATTTGTTAACCAAAGATAGTCAACAAACTCCCATCATAGACCAGTAGAAGAACATGGTCTCATACTGGCTGCTCACAGAAGTGTAACGTGATAAATGCTTCTCTAGAATCTCTGCTTTGGAAAGTCTTTGTTGTGGCGACAAACAAAAATACAATCCAGATTTAAAATGAGCATCAAGATACAATTCCAACAGATTAACAATTGTAAAAAATAAATAAATAAATGGTGTTAAATAATCAAACTGAGAACAATAACAAGTTTGGCAACAACAAAATGTTTGTGTGATTCTGATTGAAGAGTGAAATGGCAGGACGTCGTCAGGAACATTTCCTTGTAGCCGTTGCTCTGACAGCAGAGCTGTAGCAGTCTGTAGGAAAACCTGCTGCACTGGCAATCCCAGGTCCACCACCACTTCAAACTGGTCTTCTGGAGTCACTGGTCCTGATGCTGCTCCACAACAACCACAGTAAAAAGAGTGCTGGCTGCAGCAGACTGGAAGAGCTCCAGCGTCTTGTCACACACATGGAAGAACCTGACCTTTGTCAAGACATGGAGTCTGCTCGACCCCATCTTTCTACAGGACCCTCCAGTGTGGGCCAGTTCCAGCCTAAGTCCAGGTGCTTGTAGTCCTCAACCTCAACTACATGCATGCCCTCCCCAAAAAAAAGCAACAATATGGAAGATGTTTTTGCAACAAAAAATAAGTTCCTCTTTCTTGCTCAGGTTATGCGTCCTGAGCTTTGGAAGCTTCTGGTAAGGAGGTCACCATCAAACTACTCAGAACTTTGTGGGGTGAGGAGCTCCACTCATTTCTGATCGGCCGAGTGTACACAGCCTTCCATTAGCTAAAAGTCCAACCTGAAGAACGGAGGCAGCTGCTCCGGCGTGGGTTTGTGAATCATTGCAGCCACTTGAATTCTTAAACGAAGTGACGTTCTTTCAGTTCTGGAGAGTAACTGTTCTAAAAGAATCAGATCGTCTTCTCTTCCACAGGGTCACTGAGGAAGTTTGTGTTGCTGTACAGTGTGTTCCAGTTACACATTTTCACAAAGTTTGGAGCCATTCTACTCGTGTTTTAAAACGTAACCACGATGAAACGGTCAAATTCTGATTTGGTCTCGTTGTGGAAGCTGCAGCTCTTCAGCAGGACGGAAACGTTGATGGTCCATGTTAAACACTGAAGGGCAACAGAGATGATCTGCAGCGTTAGTGTGTATGAACAATTCTTCAGACTGTTGGGCCTTTCTGTTTATAATAAACAGGCATGTCCTTGTAGGTGGCACGGTGGTGCAGTTGGTAGAGCTGTTGCTTCTCAGCGAGAGGGTTGCTAGATCAAATCCCGGCCAGGACCTTTCTGGGTGCAGTTTGCACGTTCTCTCCGTGGGTTTTCTCCGGGTACTCCAGTTTCCTCCCACAGACCAAAAACATGCATGTTAGACTGATTGGTAACTCTAAATTGTCTCTAGGTGTGAGTGAGAAAGTGAAGGGTTGTTTGTCTCGTTTGTCTCTATCTGTCCCTGTGATGGACTGGAGACATGTCTCCCACCTCTCACACAGTGATAACTGGATATGGGCACCAGTGACTCCCGCGACCAGAAAAGGAAGAAGCAGATAAAGGAAATGGATGGATGTCCTTGCAGAGTCCCATGGACAAGACTGTGGACACCAAGTGGACAGCTGCACAAGCATTTTCTTCTTCTCACCTGCAGCGTTTGTGCCAGTGGTCTTGTCTGGTTCTGTCTCTCTGTTCCCAGTGCCGTCCCAGTCCAAACTGTTCTGAGTTGTGGTTCCACATAAACAGTATTAGTTATAAACACAAGAGTGGAGTCGTGTGTGTATCAGATCATTAGCTTTGTAAAGTTTCATTAAAATCTGTCCAGTGGTTCAGGAGACATACATGTACACAGTAAAAAGTAAATCAGTTCAGACTTCAGAGAATGAGTTAGAGATATCTCCCAGCTACTGTTCACTAAGGATGATGTCATTCCCTGTAAAATGGACTGGTTTCAAATCATGATGACTAAATGAAGAACTTGTGCAGAGTGATGATGACGAGTTGGGCCATAAACTCTGCTGCATGTGGAACTAAAGAGACCTTGAACTCCCTCCTGTACCTGAGGGAGGATCATGATCACATGACAGACTGTTGTAAAGGTCAAAGTGGATGTTCCTTATTTCCAAAACAACACACACACATACACACGCGCACACACACACATGCGCACACACAAATATTGTTCTCCGTGCAGGTTAGGGTTGGACCAGAAGCACCAAAGAAATGGTCCACTTTGATGAGTTTAATGTTAAAATCTCTTCAGATAAAAAGTGTAGCTTGATGAACAAACAAATGAAGCAAAGAAGTTTTTTATTTTAAAAAAACTGTTTATTTCACAGTTTTTAGACAGAAATGGGTTTTTTTGGCTGATAATTTCTCCAACTTTCGAGAAGACAAGTTGACATGGCACTGATGTGTACATAATGATTTCCAAAATGTTTGGCTTGAAGTAGCGTAACCACTGAGGACATATTATTATTATTAGTAGTAGTAGTAGAAGTAGTAGTAGCAGTAGCAGTAGTAGCAGCAGTAGTAGCAGCAATAGCAGTAGTAGTAGTAGTAGTAGGAGTAGTAGTAGGAGTAGTAGTAGAAGTAGCAGTAGTAGGAGTAGTAGTAGTAGTAGCAGTAGTAGCAGCAGTAGCAGTAGTAGCAGCAGTAGTAGCAGCAGTAGTAGCAGTAGTAG